TTGGTGATGACATACATGTAAACAAAAGATGAATGGAACTGTCGTAAAAGAGGACTAGTTCAATACCCAGGGCTAGAGAAAGCAGAAAAACAGCTACAAGCTTCTGAGAGAAAAACAAGATGCCACCACATTTTTATACTGAGACACATTTCTTCTTCAAGTTGTCAAAACAGTAGAAAACAATATTCAGCAAACAAATCTCTGGGATTATAGTACCTAAGGATCCTCACTGAAAATATATTTAGTAATATTTAAAGGCCTACTCCTCCTATCCTTTTTTTTTAACCCAAGACGTTTATTAAAGAGTCCCCCAACTTTATACAAAGGAAGATCGCTGTCCTCTTGCAATACCTAAAATATGAAGAAGCTTATCAACTAGATATTAGGATAATGTATTAAAATTGTATGGGAATCAAAGAAAAGAAATACAGCAGTCTTGGAGAGAAGCAAATGTGAATTTCTTAAGGTTCTGTCACCTTTGAACCATGAATCACAGGACTAAGCTAAGTGTTAATTGATTTATAACACTGGGCATGTGGGCACGTTTTCAGAGACAAAAATTATCTGCAAAAACTCCAAAAGTATTCTTGTTGAACAATATATATTTTTTTGTTTTATATATTTTTTTTGTTTAACCTAATTCAAGAAATTTTTTTGATAACAACCCAGTCACAGGAAATCATTTAAAGGTAAAAGCTGCCAGGAGTTTCTTACATTGTGCTGAATAGGGAAAGAAAATTTCTATAGTGCTCATGGCCTTAGTCTTTAGAGATCTTTTGCAATTACTACTGCTCTCTAGGACAGCCAGGGTATAAAATCACATATTTGTTGAGCAAATGCATAGATTATGGTGTGCACCATGAAACTTAACCTTCTGGTCGTTTTGCTTCTATAACATTAAGAAGAGTTTAATTTTCTTAGCTGTCCTATTTTTATCCTTTCATTCATTCCAGACAAAGATAATTATAACCCTCTCATAGAAGTCCCCAAATGTTCAGCATTGGCCCTACCTACGCCATCTCTCATGATCTTCAACTCTCTTCCTCCTTCATTATTCACCAAACCAGAAACTGTCATTCCCATCACTGAGATGACCACAATTTTTATATCCTCACTGAAAGCATCATTAAGAATATTAGTAATGCTGGGGCCCTTAGGTGGCTCAGTCAGTTGGGTGTCCAACTCTTGACTGAAGCTCAGGTCATGATCTCACAGTTTGTAAGATCAAGCCCTGTGTGGGTTTCTTTGTGCTGACAGCATGGAACCTGCTTGGGATGCTCTCTCTCCTTCTCTCTTCCCTCCCCCACACATGCTGTTCTCTTTCTCTCTCAAAATAAATAAATAAACTTTTAAAAAAAGAGTATTAGTAATGCTTACCTATCCAAAGCTATATATTCTCTTACTCACCATCCCAAATATATTATACCTATACTTATCTAGATCATTAGCCTTTATGGTTAAATATTTTAAGTGTACATTTAAAATAAATGTTTGCTCTCCCATTGATATTCAAAGACTTAAGTTAATGGGAGCTTTTTTGTAACTTCTGTATTTCTCAAAGTAGGAAGTTCTACACATAAAGTTTCAAAAATTTAATGAGCATTTAATAAAAATGAAAATATCACAGGAACTTCAATCACACACACACACACACACACACACACACACACACAGTGGTAAAATGCAGAATAGTATGAACTCATATTTCTTAATCATCTAGCTCTGCCATTAATGGTTCACTAATTTGTTTTAAAAATTTTAAGAGAATGAGCACAATACAAATACAATTGAAGCCCTCATGGTTGGTATTCCATTCCTACACTATCCTCCTCTCTTTCCTGCTTAGAAGTTATTACCCTTTAGTTGGAATAAGTCAGAGAATTTTCCTCACTGTCTCACACAGTACACAGCAAGATTATGTTCCTGAGTCAATGGTAGTAAATGGCTTGATTATAGACCCTTTATTGGCTTTATTTTCCCCCTTTTTATTTTTCAGCTCCTCTCATAGAGTTTCCTTTGGTAATCCTCCAAATAAATTTGAGAAATTTATACAAAAGTTTTTGCCTCAATTCTGTTTTGTTTGTAGCCAAACTAAAACATTCACAGTAAAAAAAGAAAAGAAAAAAAGAAAGAGAAAAGAGAAGAAAAAAGAAAAAAAGAAAAGAAAAGATCTAGTATGTGTCTTGATTTTTATTTTGTTTTTGATATCTTTTGCTTCAAAAAAAGCCTCGGGGTTGTTTTTGGCTGTGTATCAGTATTTTATTTTATTTTTTTTTTTTTTACTTTATTTTTTATTTTTTAAAATTTACATCCAAATTAGTTAGTATATAGTGAAGCAATGATTTCAGTAGATTCCTTAATGCCCCTTACCCATTTAGCCCATCCCCCTCCCACAACCCCTCCAGCAACCCTGTTTGTTCTCCGTATTTGAATCTCTTTTGTTTTGTCCCCCTCCCTGTTTTTATATTATTTTTGTTTGTTTGTTTTTAACTCGTTCAGTGCCCTATTATCAGAAAGACATATTTCAATATTTTGTTCAAATTTTTTTCTACACTTTTTGTGTATATGTAACCTACCTGGAATTTATTTTTCTTTATGGTGTGAGATACAGGTCTATTTTATTTTTCCTGAGAGGGATAAACAACCAACCCAGCATCATTTATTGAATGGAATAGACATCCTTTCCTCACCTATTATTAGTAACTATCTTTTTGATCCATGAAGTTTCCATATGTGAATGGAATGTTTGTGGGCTCTTTATTCTATCCCACCAAGATGTTTTCTACTCCTGGACCAGTATCATACACTCTTTATTATTATAACTCTGTAATGAGTTTTATTATCTTGTACAGTAAATTCCATTTTTATTTTAGTAATTGTTTAAATTTTAAGACATATGATTTCTTCTTTTTCACATTAACCTGTTTGTTCTACTTTAGTCTTTCCTTCATAAATCATTCTCTCTTTTAAAGAAAGCTATTCTCCCACTCATTTATGTGAACATATTAAGTATAATTACTTAAAGAATATAATTTCAGGGGGCGCCTGGGTGGCGCAGTCGGTTAAGCGTCCGACTTCAGCCAGGTCACGATCTCGCGGTCCGTGAGTTCGAGCCCCGCGTCGGGCTCTGGGCTGATGGCTCAGAGCCTGGAGCCTGTTTCCAGTTCTGTGTCTCCCTCTCTCTCTGCCCCTCCCCCATTCATGCTCTGTCTCTCTCTGTCCCAAAAATAAATAAATGTTGAAAAAAAATTAAAAAAAAAAAAAGAATATAATTTCAGGAGAATTTGTAATATAAATGCCGATTTCATTTCTGAAACCAAGTATATAATTTTTGGTATTCAATCTTATATTTAATCTATTTTACCCTGTGCTTGGAGCAGAGCATGTGAACGTATTGTGCTCTTGTCTCTTCTCTTATATAACAAAGTCCAAAGAACTATAACAAAGTTCTACCTGATTTCTCAAAAGCAATCGCATCTGCATCAGCTGTAATGTAGAAAACAGCAATTTCACTTCCAAATTCTTGGTTCCCCAGATTCATGGGTCCCTCTTCAAACTCCAATTTCATTGAGGGGTCTGGTCTATTATTAGAATCATCTCCTGGGGTAAAAGTAAAATGAACCTCTCCCAACTCTATCAGTAGTATCTCTCACTTCAGCATATTTGAAAGAGTTTAACAATTTAGTTAGTATTAATTTAGATAAATTAAAACCAAAAATGTATCCCATGACATGTATTTATTTATATCTTACTTTTTATCAGCAAGAATTTCAGAGTGCAACATAAAATTATCTTCTTTCAAGAGTACAGAAGAAGAAAGAAAAGTGGTTGATGCTTATTACAGCCAATTATAATATGCCACAATCTCAGTGCTCAAGCACTGAACCTGACGTAGGACATGCTTATCTCTGGCCAGCTTCACCTGACAGAATGGGAGGCAAACTGGTTTACTTACGAATAGATTTAGGTTTTGTTTATTAATTTTTAATTCTAGACTCATTATTTATTCAAAATGTAGAAGTGTCAGTGATAAACTGTTCTTTAATTAGCAGAAAACCATCTTGATTTCATATAAAGCAAAGAGCTATGGTTGACCTGTTCTCTAACCTGTTCTGTTGTTATAATTAGTGTGTTTAAAAAGATAAAGTTCAGGACAAGTGAGCAATGTTTTCCCCACCCAGGATACTTCCTTAAAATAGAAACAAATGTTTTGTGTTTTTTTCTCTCTCAGCAGCTACTCCCATTCATTGGTAACCACACAAGGCCATAAAGAATAGCCATGTGATGCCTTGTTAAAACAGACTTTGTTTTAAGTTAAATCAGTACTACCTTACATTGCATAACTTCACATGGGTAATATAACAAAGATTACAAAATGTGTTATTATTTCAATAAGAAACATGTATGTGTGTGGGGGGAGGGAGGGAGAAAGAGAGACAGAGATGTACCTATTAATATATGTGTTGAGCTTAGCATACACCTATACATAAAAGTTATTTTCAGAATGCCTACACCTACATAAAACAGTAGAAATGCCTTAATAAGGACGTGAGCCAGAGAGTACAAAGTTGATCTGTTAGAAAGTCACCACAAATATCAACTGCATGTGGCTAATTACTAATTGGCCTGCCATGAATTTCCTATTTTTCCTAATAGTTCCGGAAATGATAAAGGGTCCTTTTTGTTTACAACATGCATTTAATTTCATTCACCTCAACAAATGGCCTGTTCAGGTGATTAACGTTTATAACTCTGGCCGTATCTTTACTCATTAATATCTTCTTAAAGATTAACCACCCTTTTTAAGCTACTCAATGTATAGAGGCATAATGTTGCTAAAGGGTCATGCACAACTCATTTACACCAGCCAGTAACAGTAAGATAGACCTATGTTGTTGCTTTACAAATCTTTGACAATTTGAGAGGTTTTGCTCTTCAGTTGGGGCAGGGGTCTATGTTCTTTCACAGTTCTTAGACTGGCATACTTTCAAAACCCAAAAATGGTGTCAAAAAGAAGTATACCTTCAAGGCACCATTCTCTCAGCACCTATGAGGTCCTGTTTGCAGCTCTCTTTGCCTTACTGGTGGCACTCTGTGCTGGATTATTTGCAGTGTCCTGGCTGGCAATCGAGGGATCAGAAAGAGGTAAGCCCTGTGGCTTTGGTTTAGGAAGAGACTCTCTGATGAATGTGCCCAGGTTAATCTCAGTTATCCCACCAGGATGTCTTCTCCGTTTCTGTGCTCTCATGACAAGACACCTATGTCGCATTCAGATGCTTTCGGTATCAAGTTTGGAATTTAATTCAGAATTCAAGCATGAAACTAAGCTTTTTAAAATAAAAGATGTTAAGTAAGTTTTTGTTTTTGTTTTTTTAGTTTTAACATGTAACTAAGTTTCATAGCCCAGATTTCTTCTGATGGAATTTAAATCATAAATATATTAAAATGTTGTTGACTATTCAAGTCAGTAAGTAGGCAAGGTTAAAGGAAATATATTATTTATTTCTAGGGAATAACAGTTTCATTTTCTTATTAGTCCAACAATAAGAATACAAGGGAACTTAGATATAATTGTAGACTTTGCACTACAAGAATACAAGGGAACTTAGATATAATTGTAGACTTAGGTCTCAAACTGCCTGAATAGCAATTTTTAATAAACAGAAATAAAGAAAGGTAACTATTATTTACACCTAAATTATCTATATCATCAACTTTTCAAAGATCTTCAAATATATTCTCTTTCTACAACAAATCTATGATTTAGTTGTTATTGTTACCCTTATTTTAGAGGTGAGAAATCAGAGACAAAGAAAGTTAAGTAATTTGTTTAAACTTGTATCAGTACTTTATAGTTTTAAAAAATAAGTCCAATATAATTCCATTTAAATACTGTATACAAGGGATGTATTTAGAAGAAAAAGAAAATTTGGGATATTTTATACAGAGGTTCACTTAGACTTTTAGAAAAGCATCTGCTCTGGTCTTAATTAAACGCTAAAAGTAACTGGAACAACGTGTAATCATTTAAGAGTCCATTGGAATCTTAATGTTCAATGAAGTTACAAAAGTTATTTTACAAGCAAAACAAAAATAAATATTTATAAATGTTAATGCGATTTAATAGAATAACTGAATATAAAAAAGGAGTTGAGTTACATCTAAAATAGAATATTAGAGGACAAAGCCATGCTACTTTTAATGCATTGCTTTACTTTTTATTAAAAATCATTTTAGACTTACAAAAAGATTGCAAAAATTGTAGGTTCTTATATAACGTTCGCCTACCTTCACCTAATGTCAGTATCTTGTATATCCGTAGTACAATTGCTACAACCAAGAAATTAACATTGGTACAATATTATTGACTGAACCACACATTTTTATTCAGATTTTGCCAGTTTTCCCACTAATGTCCTTTACCTGCTCAGGATTCAAACCAGATTTCTACACAGGAACAGTTATCCTGTTCCCTCAGTCTCCTCCAGTGCAGGACAGTTCCTCAGTCTTTCTTTGTATTTCACATTTAAATATGCAAGTCTAAATGTAATTTTGAGTTTTTAAAAACAAATGAAATAGCATAAATGATAATATATTCCACCAATTATGCAATGATAACTGTTTAGACTGAACTTTATGCAACTTTATTGTTTAAATTGTTTCTAATGTTCTTTCTGGTCTGGGAAGTTTGGTGTCAATGTATGACAGATCCCGGGTTCTAAAGTATGTCAGTCAGTGTCCAAATTCCAGATCTGTCATCTGTGTCATTATCACCTTGGGAAGTGTTCACAATGAATCTTAGCCCCAATTTCCCCATCTGGGAAAAGGAGAACTAACATCTTCTTATACCGTAATGTAAGAATTATATATCATTATTACCATATTTACTAATGATTTCATCATTGTGTTTCAGTTGAAGTGTCTCATTTTAATTTAAACATATGTCAAAAAAGATATTCTGGTAAAGGGATTATGCAAAACTTGATGGTGCATTTTATTACCCATGTTTATATTCAATTTATTACCTTTCCACTTACATTTTTTATTATATGGGATAATATATTTCCTGCAGCATTCTCAACAACTTTTCCAATAAAAACAGTCACCATTTAATGGCAAAAGGTCATACATGCCAACTTTATAATTACTAGAATAAAAAAAATAGTTTCACATCTATCTTTCAAAGTAACACATACACTGAAATCTTCACAGCAATCCGCATGTAGAAAACCAACAGTGTCCCTGGATGCTGGGTGTTCAAGAAGTATCTGAAAGCAACTACAAACTTCTAAAACTTTTAATGGTCCATTTCTCACCATGAGTCCCTGGATCAGTTCTCCAAATTGGTGGAAGTTTATCCCTTATCTTCCAACAGGAATCTCAGTAGTAAAAAAATAAAATAAAATAAAATAACACTTGGAGCTTAGACTGTGGGTTAGATTTCAAAGAAAAGGAAAAAAATGGTAGGATAAAGAAGTTTATTTTTAATCTTGTAAAACAACATATAGCTTAAAAAAAAAAAAAGCACCTAATTATGGAACATGAAGTCTGCAAAGAAAAAGCAAGAACCACCACTCCAACACAGGAAGCATGAACTTTAGGTCTAAGTATCAACAGGAATGTGCATATTCTCTCTTATTCATGACTCATATTGTTAGTGTTTTATTTCTTATTAATTCATTTAGATGCAGTGTTTGGAAAAAGTCACAAAGCCAGAGGGACATTGAAAATAACAGCTGGAGCCATGTATAATCCTAATTTGCAAGACAAACTCTCAGCGGATTTCAAAATTCTTGCTTTTGACCTTCAGCAAATGGTAGGAGACTGTCTTTTTTTTTTTTCCAGCTGATTTAAAATTTCAAAACATAGTTTCACTAACTACTTGCCAAAAAATACATAGATCCCATTTTCTTACTTTGAGAAAATTAGTAAATAAATGTAATAAATGTCTTTATTATACATGTAGTAAATAAATGTGCCCAGAATTCTTAAGTATATGAGTCCTATCACCACAGAGAAGAAAACGGCCTATGATCCAATTCTAAACAGAAAAAAAAACATCAATTTGTTTAAAATGTTTTATAAAAGTTTAAATCTTAAATACACTGTTTTTTAAACTTTTTTTTTAGATAGATGATGTCTTTCAATCAAGTAATCTGAAAAATGAATATAAAAACTCAAGAATTTTAAGATTTGAGTAAGTACAGCTCAAAAATTTTCTACTGTTAGAAAGAAGGCCCAGAATCACAAAATAGTGATTTTATTTTATTTTTTACTAATATTTGGTAAATGTAAAACAGGGTGACCCACTGTCAAGAGAAAAAGGAACACTTAAAATTTTCAACATTTTTCTAAGGATTTTATGAGGAAAGTGGCATAGCATAAACTTTCATATTAGTAGCAAATAATAACGCTGGATAATTTATCTTAAGTCAACATGTTTCTCTCTCCTGAGTAAAATCTTTCAAAAACACATGGATAGGGCTGAGGTTGAATGTATGCAAATGCACACAGTGTTTCATTTGCTCTGAATGTGTAAAAGATGCTCATTTATCACACTCCATTTACACTGAAAGTCACAGAGAAAAGACACTTATTCACTGCTGCACTCAGAAAGCAAAGTCACTACCTATAAAATGTGAATATTCATTAATTTTACTTTTATTAATTTATCATTTACTACACATATATCATTTATTGTGTACTGACTAATGTTACTAAACATTACATGGCAAGTTGTATATACAGTTAGTAGAATAGGAATTCAGGAGAGAGAAAGACTTTAAATGATGTAGTCTGCCTTTGCTTGCCTGCTTTAGGTTGGAATGCCCACAGCTTCAGTGGGAAATTCATTGTCATCCAACAAAAGAAAGTGATTCACACTGCTTAAAATGGATTCCATTATACAAGGATATCTGATAAAAATTAGGAATCCATTCTCAACGTTGCTGTGAACATCATTGTTACTGAGGTGTTTTGTTTCTTTATAATTTGTTTCTAGAAAATTATTTCTTATTCTCAACCACATCTTTATTTCTTTGACTCTCACCCACTGATCCTGATGGTAGTTCTTAAGGTTTTACAGAATAAATATACCTCTATCTTTAGATTTCAGTCTTTCAAATACCTGAAGACTGTTTCTAGTGTTACCATTTTAAATGCAGGTAGGTACTTTCTGGGGTTTTGTCTAAGAAAAGCACTCTGACCTTCTATTTTTCTTTCCCCTCTCCGTGTAGGCTTCTGCACTAGCCCTACCATATCACCTGTACACTCGCAAAAATATCCTGTTTTCTCTCTTTTGTATACTTTTTCACTGCCTAGATCTGCATTTCTTCCTTACTATATATTGCATCCATCATTACAATCCATGCTTACAAGCCATTAAGAACCAGTCCATGCATCTCCCACAGGGATGCTCACATGATACTCTCGCCCCAGTTAGGTATGTCTCAGACCTGCTCACTTAGCATCCTGTACCTACAAATAAATTAACAACTGTCATACTATAATATAATCGTTAATGTGTCTCCTTTGTTAGACTATGAGCTCCCTCAGGGCAAAGAATATCTTTGATACCTGTATTTCCAGAACCTAGTTAATGTCTGCCTCAGAGGATGTACTTTATAAAGTCCTAGAAAGTAAATAAACCATTTCCTTGGCACCTGATGTTGATATACTGAGTACTATGTTAGGTGCCACATGTTTTATTTAGCTCTTGTCCTACAGATATAAAAATAACTATACTCTGACCAGGGCATTAACTTTTTGTTATCATAGAATTTTAATTAAAAGAAATCTAAACTAGTTCTCTGGGAGCACAGAAGTGTTACAAATTCAAGAGCCCCTCAGTTTGGAAAGGAGAGTCATGGAAGGTTTTGTCTGATAAGCATGAGACAAGTCTACTTCAGGAGAGAAGAAAAGGGAAGCTATTTCTGTTACAGAAAGGATTGTTGCATATTAATGACGTTTTCTGTCTGTCAGTGAGTGTCCAACAAGATGTTGAGACAACAGGAAGGTGTTGAATATAAGCCTAGGAGTCTGACGTTTAACCTTTTTCAAGTGGAAGCCATAAGGGACTCTAGGTCATTGGAGAAATTCAGCGAGTCTAACTGTAAAGTGAGTCTCATCTACTACCTCACATCAAGAACAACTGAGTCAGAGAGCCTTGTGACAAAGACACTTGGTAAAAGAATCTTTAAGTCCTGGTGACCAAATAGAGGAAGGAAGGTCAACTCAAAGGCAGAGATCTCATTTAGAAAAACAATGACAAGTATGGGGGCGCCTGGGTGCTCTGTTGGTTAAGCAGCCAACTTCAGCTCAGGTCATGATCTCACAGTTCGTGGGTTTAAGCCTCATGTGGGGCTCTGCTGACAGCTCAGAGCCTGGAGTCTGCTTTGGATTCTGCCTCCCTTTCCCTCTGCTCCTCCCCTTCACTCCTGCTCTCTCACTCTCAAAAGTAAATAAACATTAAAAAAAAGAAGAAGAAAAGAAAAACAATGACAAGGTCAAATGAGGATTATTTAATGGGCAGAAGAAAATTCGGGGACTTGCCATTTGTTGTTGAAACAAAACTAATACTATCAGTGGAAGTCATAATGAAAACAACAACAATAGAAAAAAAGTTTAAAAATCTCTTTTGCTCTTTCTTTCATTTCTTACTTCTTTCTCATCTATTTATTTACCTGTACTTATTCTTGGTCAAATTGTATATTCATGACATCTTAGTCCCAATGGCCAAACAACCCTACACCCATCTACTGTCCTCATTCCTACCTACAATACAGAGGCTTCTACCCTTGTTTTCCAGGACTTATTATCAGCAAGAGCCTCTTTTATGGGCTCAATATCAGAACTGGAAGGAGACATGTGGACTCTTAGGAAAGGTTTTTGTTTGTATGTTTGTTTGGTTTAGGTTTTTGTTGTTGTGTTTTGTCTTTCTCAAAAGAGTATTTTTATAATATTTATTCAATATTATGTGATAATAAAAACATGCATGCAAGATTTTTTTTTGTCACTTCAAGCAATCTGTCTATTTTGGAGTATGTAGACTCAATTTCTCTTTTCCAGTTTTGTAGAGGATTGAGTGTGGATCTGTGCATTAAAGCCTTAATTCAGATTTTTTTCAAGTATTTTAGCATTCCTTAAGGAGAGTTACCCCAGGTACTTGCCTCTCATATCAGGCTCTGCTCAGTGAAATCCATACAAAGCACAGAGTCCATTGCAGAGTTTATTAGGATAGTTTTGCTAATGGAAGTCTTCATATCCACATGTTTACAACATGCTGGATAGCTTTATTTTTACTAGATGAGGAAAAATTGCTGAATATAGACTTTTATATATATAGGCCTAATGGATGATCAAAACCCCATTTATCAAACCCAGCATTTTCTTTGATATTTAATAAGTAATCTTTTATTTCTCTAGAAGGTAAAGCCACTATACTGGAAACCATAAATTATTGAGCTGAGGAATTAATTCTTTCTCTTCCTTCATAGCTACCTAGAAGACCAATGTAGTACCTAAGTCTTGCTATGTATTTTATAATGATTCACAAATAATACACTGTATCAATGTAGAGATACTTTCACCCAGTTGTACCTGAACTACGTTTAAATCAGAAGTAAAGATTTGAAAGATGCAATGCAAGAGAATTTCATGAAAATGTCTGTAAGATAAATTATAGGTCAGTTCTTTGCAAGACTGAGAAGAGAAAGAAATTCAGAAGCAGGAAAGAAAGCAACTAGCAAACATTTAGATTTACTTTAAATAATCATTTATAAAATGACATACTCAGAATAAAACGGCAGACTCCTAATTACCTTTATAAATTATTTTAATTTTAAATTCCAGTTGATAAAATGTGCAACAGAAATAACTGAATTCTCAACTAACCATATCCCCACCAACAGTGTGGATTAAAAAATCCCTTAAAATACCTATTTTCCTTTTTCTTACTGATTTCAATTAAACTCACATTATATTCACATGTATATGGTCACATTATAGCACTCAGAAAACTAAACTTAGTCATCAAGGTATCCTTCTTTCCTTTTAAAAATATCCCTCAATATCGGGGGACCTGCGGGGCCCAGTCGGTTAAGCATCTGACTTGATTTCAGCTCAGCTCATGACCTCATGGTTGGTGAGTTCAAGTCTCCCATCAGTCTCTCTGCTGTCAGCACAGAGCCTGCTTGGGATTCTCTCTTTCTCTGCCCCTCCCTTGCTTGCACATGCTCTTTCTCAAAATAAACATTTAAAAAATTGTGTTACTTAATATCAACTCCTGCTCCTCTATTCAAGTGTGTGTGTGTGTGTGTGTGTGTGTGTGTGTGTGTGTGCGCGCGTGCACGCGCATGTGTGGCCACTCTGCAGGTTTGCTCTCCTCTGGGAACACTTAATGTTATTCTGCTTTGTGGAAAGTGCTTTGATTCAGAGAGCATTTAGCAGTTGATTCTTTTAATAAAGTGCTGTTTACCCTTTGAGGTGATATGCAGCTTAATTTGCCCTTTGAGCACAGACAAGTCACAAAGTTAGGAAAGGAAAGGCTTTTGTTTACTCAGCAACCCTAGAGGTTATCAATATCATTAAGAAAATAAGAGATAAGAAACATTTTGATTTATTGCACACAGGCTTTCCATACAGTGATAGGATTTATCTGCTTTACAAAAAAACTCAGATATTCCACTGGAATAAGTACTTTGAAATGAAAACGGCCATCGCTATGTTGTTGTTGTTGTTGTCGCTGTTATTTCCCTAAAGGAAGAATTCTCATTTACTTTAATAAATAAAATCAATCTCACAGCAGTGATAGAGATTGGTATCATACCAATCAAATAACAGCTTTAGCTTTCTCATTAGGTAAAACACAAATGTTTATTATGTTTTTTCCTGATTTCTATATATATGTCTCTTATCTCAAGATTTACACTGAGGAAGAGAAATTTTAAAAAATACAACTGCATGTGATATATGCTAATTAACTGGAATTAAAATAAAAAGCTTAAAAACACAAAAAGATATTTGTAAAAATAAACAAATGTAGATATAGAATGTGTAACTCTTGCTCTTCTGAAGTACAAATAACTAAATAAAATGTATAATTTGCAGCTAAGAAGATACATCTTTATGTATTTTTATGCCGGGTTATGAACTAATATAGTCATTTTCAATGCAATGAAGGAAAATGCCAGACTTGTA